GATAGTCCATGTGTAATAAAATTCAAATTTTCAATACAGATTATGAGGTACATAAAAAATATTAAAGAATAAGAAGCTTTAATTAAAAAAACAAAAACAAAAACAAAAAAAAAACCGCATACATATACAAATTACTTACAGTCGAGCATCGGGAAGTCATTAACATATCTTACGAAACTTTAATTTGAAAACGATATTTGCGCGCGCTGAAGTGATTAATGTTTATTTGAAAAATAAAAAAAAAGAACTTTTATGTTTGTGTTCTAAAAATAATTGGCGGCATAAGAGGAATTTCTTATTCATTTTACAACACTTGAAAAATTACTACAGAAAATGTGTTGTTGTTTTTTTTGTTTTGTTTTCAACAAAAGTGAGTGTGTTTTAAGTTTATTTATACTCGGCGCCGGAATAACCATATGTCCGAGATTATAGCATCTGGGACGTCTTTTTCAAGCAGATTCTTCCTGGAAGCCCATTCTTCGTTCTTTGGTGGTAAAGGAGACGACAATACCGTCAAGGCATCAATTTTCTGACTGACGACAACAAAAACGGCATCTATTAGCGCCAAACCTCCAGAGTAAGTCACGACAGGTCAACCAATCACCTCTGGTACTTATGATGACTTGACTATGTCCTTCCGTGTGCCTTCTCCGCGACGTGCACGCCTCTGGAGGAAATTGGAGAAGTTTCAACAAAAACTTCCAAAACACGCCATTTATAACATCATTCATAGCACTGACGGCTTCGATGTTCTCATCTATTTGCAGGAAATGGTCGACAGGGAAAACCCTACGTAATAACCGCACACCCTGTTAACAACAGATTTTCCGCAGTATATATTTCAAGCTAGTGAGGTTTAAAAATACACAAGCTATCGATTAACTACCATTAGTTGGTTGAGTGTTGGCGGTAAAAAAAGAAGATATAACTTCCTGATCAATTTTCACTTAGGTTGATTCAGTTTTGAATAAGCTTTGCAGATATGTATTTTTTCAAGAAATATTTAGCTTTAATATTATCCGACGCCGTCAGTAATGAAATGGGAATAATTTTCTGAAACGTGATTTTATTCGAGATTTGCTTCTGGAGAAGACAACCTTCTGTCCGTAGAGCATGAATATTAATACTCATCACAAGACAGTATCTTATTGATCTCAATTATGGTACATCTAAACGTGTATAATTTTTATGTTCAATAAAAATGTTGCATCACTTGCAGTTGTTATTATCATTCAATAATATTAAAATGACATAAAGTATTTATGATGAACAGTCCTAGAATATTTTGACACAGGAACTTGAAATTCTATCAAATAATCAATATTAATTATAATATCCAAATATACCCCCTATATACTATAAAATTTTTTTATAGTATATAGGGGGTATATTTGGATATTATAATTAATATTGGTTATTTGATAGAATTTCAAGTTCCTGTGTTTGTGTTTTTTTATAGTATATAGGGGGTATATTTGGATTTTATAATTAATTTTGGTTATTTGATAGAATTTCAAGTTCCTGTGATTTTGATAAGGAACCGTCAGTTGTAAAATGTTATTGTTATCTGATAATGAACAGTCGTCATACTTGCTGGTATGTCATTTATTATTGACAGTTTAGGTTTTTCAAAATTTGTATGATTAACAGTCCGAATGTAGACCTCAATGAAATGTTCTGGAATATTAACAAAATGAATAGTCAACCACATTAACCATATATATGAATGGTTGAACACAACAGTAAGGATAAATAGCGCAATGTGCATATCTTTTTATTTTGGTAGCATATTTTAAGCAAAAAGAAAAGACACTATAAGTCTAAAACATTCTCTCATAGCCTCCCCATCAGTACATTCAGTGCTTTGATTACAAGAAGGTTTTTAAAAATCAAGTAACCCCCATGGCCAGGCCCTATTTGATCTAAGGGGCATAATTTGAACAATCTTTGTAGAAGACCACTAGATCATATTACATACCAGATATCAAGGCTCTTGACAAGATTTTTTAACATTTTCCTACATAACTTTATATAAAACTGATGAGCCCCCTGAAATTTTTTTTTGAAAATTTTGAACATTTGAACAATCTTTGTAGACAACCACTAGATCATGCTACATACCTAATATCATGGCTCTACACCTTCTGGTTTTGCCAAGAAGATTTTTAATGAATTTCATTCTTTTTAATAACTTTGGTAGAGCTTCATGCAAGGAAAATGCCTACAAAGTTTAATGAAAAAGTGCCATGCGTTATTTGAGAAGTCTTTTAAATATAAAAGTTAAAACACGAACGGACGGACTGACGGATGGACGATGGACAACACAGTGTCACAAAAGCTCACCTTGTCACTTTGTTCCACGTGAGCTAACAAGAAAGTAGGTCAAATCATTAAAGTCTAGGTCAGCTGATATCAAAGTTCAATTTCAATACAATCTTAAGCTATGCACATGGTCCAAATTTCCTAGCTGTACATCAAAGGACAAGAAAGTAGGTCACATGTCAAAATCTAGGTCAGCTTTTAAATATTCAATATTGAAATTCAATTTTACATATCAAACTGTACACATGGTTCAGATTTCATGGCTATACATCAATGGACAAGAAAGAAGTGCACTGTCCCCTAAGACAGGGCAAAATTTTTACCCAATAACTTAATTCAAACACTCTTGATACAGGTCCACCAGATAATGTTTAATGTCAAATATCTAAGCTATAGCTTTCTCCCATTTAGAAAACTTTTCTGTAAAGTTTCTGTTTTTCTTATATGTGCATAATGAAAATCAATGAACCCCGGGGTGGGGCCAATTTTGACCAAAGGGCTGTAATTTGAACAATCTTGGTAAAACTCCACTACACAATGTAAAACATCTAACCTGTAGCTGGAGAAGACTTTATATATATAAGGAAACCATATGAGCGACAGACTTGAAATCAAATCCAAAGATATGAGACCATGTGTCAATGATGTATGCCAAATAATATCAAGAGGCTGTGATACATAGTTGCTGAGAAAACTGTTAAGAAAATTTCCTACCATTGATCATTAATGTCGAAAATTTAACTAAGTTAATAAACAGGAAGTGAATGAGCGACCAGGGCCCTCAATCCAAATTGGGGGAAGTGGGTCGCTGCCCTCAGCAGGGGGAATTTAAGTGTATGGGGGGAATTTTCCTCTTTTCTGTTATGATCAAATATCAAATAAACTTATTTAAATATAAGCTGTTTTTTTATTTACATGCATATTATTTTTTTTAAAAATCCCAAATAGGTAACACTAAACTGTTCAGAAGTGATTGATAAGATTTGAAGAAAATTTTTTAACACCTTACTGTACACCATCAGACCTTTATGCTGCTTAGCTTTCTTTATGATTCACTCCCCTCCACCCCCCCCCACCCCACAAAAAAAATAAGCATTAAGAAACACATTCAGACAAATATCTCCATTTCCACTAATATGAACAATACATGGACCTAAAGTAAATTCTATTCATAAACTACATTTCTAGTGTTCTAACACACCTTTTAATAAGACAAAGCTTCCTTTTCTTGACATTGTAAAACAATCGTAAAAATTCGGCATCGCGAAAATATGTGACAAATGAAAATTCGTCTGTTTTCTGTTTACACATCCACAATTCTAGTTGTTGCTGATGTAAATTATATAAAATTAAATGTATTGTTTATTATAAGTTCGTTTTCCATCAGTTATTTCATAAAGTATCATGAAAACAAAACTTACAAGTTTGTAATTTACGGCAAAATTTACTGTGGTTGGTATAACATTTTGAAGACAAAAAAATGATTTCATTATTAAACAATTTGAAATCGAATTGTTGATGGGAATTGTGTTTTTTTCTGCATATTTCTGTTGAAATTTTAGCATTTTTACAGGATGAAAGGCCAACATGTGACAGTAGATTTTGGGGGAAAAAACAAATGGAAACGTGCAGACATGTACTGTACGATATTCCGCTTACAGAATAGCCGTCAAATAGATGGATTTTAACTTTCCAAAAAAACATTAGTTTTCATTTTTTTTCTTTAACACTTTATATGTTTTGAGGGGGAATTTTTACCTCTGTTAGGGGAAAAAAACATACTATTTTGGTGGGGGACTGCGGCCGATAATCGGCCGCGGATTTGGTTGATCGAGGGCCCTGGCGACAGACCTGAAATAGAATCCCACAGTATGGGACTATGTGTCAATGCTGCATGCCAAATATCAAGAGGCTGTGATAAGTAGTTGCTGAGAAAACTGTTACGAAAATTTCCTACCATTGCCCAATAAGTCGATAAAAAGGAAGTGGATGAGCGACAGACCTGAAATAGAATCCCACAGTATGGGACCATGTGTCAAAGGTGTATGCCAAATATCAAGAGGCTGTGATAAGTAGTTGCTGAGAAAACTGTTACGAAAAGTTTTTCCCCGCCCGCCCAACATTCACCATACTAAAAATTGTGAAACCCAGCCAAAAATCAATGACCGCAGGGCTATAATTTGAACAATCTTGGTTGATGTTCAACAGACTATGGCTTATGCAAATTATCTATGCTTTAGGCCAAATGGGTCTTTACAAGAAGATATTTTAAAGTTTTTATTACAATTCTTTTTGGTTTCTGCATGGAATCAAATTCTTTAAACAACTTTGGAACACCTACATCCAAGGAACAATCTTGCCAAGTTAAGTTGAAATTGGACAAGCAATTTTTAAGTTCACTATATAATCACACACACACACGCACGCACTCGGGCAACCACGCATACACAAATTGCTATTATGCCACCACATAGCAGAATAATGCTGCAGTGGCATAACAAACAGATGTGCATAATCTCCAGACTGCCATCTGCGAATATTTCAAGTTTCATAAAAATACTTTCAGTTTTTTTGCATTATCAAAGGGACAGACAGACACACAAACGATTGGAGGGTAAAACCTAAAGACCCGTCCGATTAAACAGGTAGGGACTAATTAAGTATTAAAATGACAATACCTGGTGCTTAAGCCCAAGAGTGTATTTGATCCATATAACCGGTCTGGCCAATTCTTCCTCAGTTAATTTCTTCTGTTCTCTTTCCTTTTTCTTCATTTCTTCTCGATCTAATGATGTGATGCGTTTAAATCGAAACATGACCTAGCAATGAGAGTTTGATTATATAATATCTATAAAACCTTAAATTACTTTTCCTTTATGTAACAAGATTTCATTTCTGATTGTTTGTTTCATTTTACACCTTTTTCCAACAGTATTTCAGTCATATAGGCGGGTAGTTTCCTAACCATCATTCCTGGAGAGTTACACCAGTACTAGACAACCTTCCTCCGGGCTAAACTACCAAAGCAACTCCCGGGGATCGAACCCAGGCCAGAGAGGCAACTGGATTAGAAGTCATCGACTCTAACCCCTCGACCACGGAGGCAGTGGTATTTCATTTCTGAAAAAATGCTATGCCACGGCATTAATATAACAGAAGCAGATTTTTTTTGTTTCTATAAAATTGAACTTTGCAATAATGCAGTAGTGTTTAGTGTATTTGGGGGTCCAGGTCATATTTCAGCATGCCAAATGAATGGCAATGTGCAGATGTGTCTATAATTTTGGGGGAAAAAACAAACGGAAACGTGCAGACATGTACTGTACGATATTCCGCTTACAGAATAGCCGTCAAATAGATGGATTTTAATTTTCCAAAAAAACATTAGTTAAGAATTAAAGATTCAAGAATAAAAGAATTTTTATTTGACAACAAATCGCTGTATTTAACTTAGAAATGAAGGTACATTTACTTTTTCTTAAATACGGTCTTTTCACATAAGCGTTATCAATTTCTAAAAACATAAAAAACCAATTACCATTTAAATTCATCTTTATATAGATGGTGTGAATCATAATGTCCTGATAATAAGCTCAAATTGTTTCATCAAATATTCCTGCAAATTAGAGTTCATGACCTCTAACCAATTCATAAATATCTTTCTGAAATCTTGCTAGAGATCATGACCTTTAGATTAACTCCAAGCTTTTGAATCTTTTTATCAAAAAATTGCATTACATGTTAAAAGTCATTCCAATATAAGTTGTGTCCCTCCAGACAAGAAGAATTTTTTTAAAGTTTCTACTATATGTACATAATGAAAATCAAAGACCCCCAGGTAAGGGGCAATTGTGACCCCAGTGCTGTAATTTGAACAATCTTGGTATAGGTCCACAACACAATGTTTTCATGCCAAATATCTAATCACTAGGCTTTGTCAATTCAGAGAAGAATTTTTTTTTTTACTATATACATTCACTGGAGCCTGGATATAGGCTCTCCGAATATAACGCTTATCTCAGTATAACGCTCATAAACCTTGGCTCCAAAAAAAAAAATTGTATTTTTCGCCGATCATGATTTTTTTTTCATGTATAATTGATACCCCACTGTATCTGCTATAACGCTTGTTCAATGTGTCAGTCAAATGCAATAAGCAGTCGTAATTAGGTTACTTGTGAGCACAGGTGTGGAAATCATACACTGGTAAGCGTAATTCCACTCTTTTGTTTCATTTGAACTGTTGATCAGTCAGGTATCAAAACTGTTATAACATCTCAAATTCATAGCTATGCTCTCTCAGTCTTCAAATCACCACCCTGGTCTGTAAATACTTATTTGGGCAGTGTGACCTAGTTTATGACTTCAGGTGATTCATAATCAAACTTGACCTAGAAATCATCAAAACAACCTTCCTGGTCCATTTCCAGATATTTGGATCAAAACTGCAGCCATTGGAGTGTTAACAAGATTTTTCTATTTTAAGCTCTTGTGACCAAGTTTTTTGACCAGAGATGACCTATATTCATACTTGACCTAGAAATCATCAAAACAACCTTCCTGACAAATTGCCAAATATTTGGATAAAAAATGCAGCCACTAGAGTGTTATAAAGATTTTTCTATTTTTTTGCTCCTGTGACCTAGTTTTTAACCGGAGATAACCATATTCCAAAGTTGACCTAGAATCATCAAAACAACTTTCCTGATCAATTTCCAGAATATTTCAATCAAAAACTGCAGCCACTAGACTGTTAACAAGATTTTTCTATTTATAGCTCCTGTAACCTAGTTTCTGACTGGAGATGACCCATATTTGAACTTGACCTAGAGATCATTAAAATAACCTTCCTGACCGATTTCCAGGAAATTTAGATCAAAACTTCAGCCACTAGAGTGTTAACAAGCCTTTTTTATTTTTAGCTCCTGTGACCTAGTTTATGATTTTTTCAGTAATCTATAACACACACACAGCATCGCACATTGCAGTGGCATAAAAATCATTCAAACTGAAATTTTAGTAATTTGTAAACTAATGAATTGATATTATAAATAACAAATCATATATTCATATAATAGCAACACAACCATTTTTCATCTCCAAAAAGGATGTGTAATCAGTTCCCTAATGCTAAAATAAATCATTAAATAAGAAAGTTTGTAAATAATCATACAAGTGCTTCATGCCAAACAGGTAACAAACAGTACAGGTTTAATTACATGCACCAGTATTGTCAAGGCTAGAGAGAAGTCCTCAGGCTTGGTACAATGGTGCAACGCTTTTAACCATGACTGACGATGAAGCTGCCAATTCGGATGAAGAAATGGAGATGCTAAACTGCTCTCTAGTTGCGCCAGGCTCAATCTTAGAGTAGAAACAGTCATGATCTTGTTACCATTTGTTGTTCCATTCCATTTGAACTCACTAAGGTTGGTAAGGCTGAACTTATGAGATAAGTAACGCCGCTTGTCCCGCTCTTCATTATGTTGATGTTTATTTAAGGCAAGAGTCTGAGTGGTGTACTGGTTAACATATTGCTTGTAATTACCATCCATACCTGAAATATTTTCAAGATTTCTTTTTAAACATTTCTTTCATGGCCCAAAAATGCAGAAAAAACAAGCTAACAAAACAGGTAGAGTACCACTATACAATGTTGCATACCAAATATCTAAGCTAAAGCCTTTACAGAATAATAGAAAAAAATTGTGTTTTTTATATAAACATTTAAGAAAATCAATGACTCCCTCTGGCAGGCCAATTTTGACCCCAGGGTTTTTATTTGAACAAACTTGGTAGACAACCACTAGAAGATGTTTCATTCAAAATATCTAAGCTCTAAGGATTTCCTTTTTTTACAAGAAGATTTTTTGTCTTTTTACTAAACACATATAAGGAAAATCAATGACCCCCTGGGGCGGGGCAATTTTAACCCCACAGCTTTTATTTGAACAAACAGGGAAGGCATCCACTAGTAGATGTTTCATGCAAAACATCTAAGCTCTAGCTCTTTTGGTTTTTACAAGAGGATTTTTTTTTTATTTTTAGTACATACATACAGTCAAACTTCGTTTTACTATATGTACATAATGAAAATCAATGACCCCCGGGGCGGAACCAATTTTGACCCCAGGGCTTTAATTTGAACAATCTTGGTAAAGGTTCATTTCGCAAAGTCTCATGCCATATATTTAACCTCTAGCCTTTGTCAATTCAGAGAAGATTTTTCAATTCAGAGAAGAAGATTTTTCAAGTTTTTACTTTATACATATAAGGAAAACTATCGCCTCTGGGGCAGGGCAATTTTAACACTAGGGGCATAATTAAATAACAACTTTAATAGAGGAACCATAGATGATATTATATACCAAATATCAAAGCTTTAAGCCTTGTACCTTCAGACAAAATTGTTTTTAAATTTTTTACTATACGTACATAGTAAAAATCAATGACCCCTTGGGGTGGGGCCAATTTTGACACCTGGGCTATAATTTGAACAATCTTGCTAGAAGTTCACTTCACGTTTCATGCAAAATATCTAACCTCCAGCATTTGTCAATTGCTAGCAGATTTTTTTTTAAAGTTTTTACTATAAGTTTTTACTATATACATATAAAGAAAACCAATGACCCCTGGGGCAGGGTCGATTTTGACCCCAAGGCTATAATTTGAACAATCTGGGTAGAGGTCTACCAGACAATGCCTTATGTAAAATATCTAAGCTCTAAGCCTTTTGAGTCTTTACAAGAAGGTATTTTAAGTTTTTACTATATGTACATATAGTGACAATCAATGACCCCCGGGGCGGGGCCGATTTTGACCCCAGGGCTATAATTTGAACAATCTTGGTAAGGGTCTACTAGAAAATGCCTTATGCAAAATATCTAAGCTCTAGGCCTTTTGGGTCTTACAAGAAGGTATTTTAAGTTTTTACTATATGTGCATATAGTGAAAATCAATGACCCCCGGATGGCTTGAAGTAGCGCGTAAATGATTATTGGTCTATATGCATACTGCATAACTTATCAAGGGCCATAACTCCGAGTTAAAGGGTCTGATCGGAAAAAGACAATGATATGCGCATCTCCTCATAACATTGAAGGTTCCCATAAAGTTTCATTGAATTCAAGCTATTGGTGTCAGAAGTATTGCGGAAACGATTATTGCTCTTACTGCATACTGCATAACTAATCAAGGGCTATAACTCTGTGTTGAAGGGTCTGACCAGAACAAGGCAACCATATGCGCATCTCTTTTGGTATTGATGGTTCTGGTAAAGTTTTGTTGACTTAAAGCCTGTAGTTGCATAGAAATAGCACGGAAACAATTATTGCTCTATATTATGCATTCTGCATAACTAATCAAGGGCCATAACTCTGAGTTAAAGGGTCTGACTGGAACAAGGCGAAGATATCGCATCTCCTATTGGTATTAAAGGTTACCATAAAGTTTCATTGAATTCCAGCCAGTAGTTGAAGAGAAGAAGCGTGGAAATGATTATTGCTCTATATGCATACTGCTTAACTAATCAAGGGCCATAATTCTGAGTTAAAAGGTCTGACCGGAACAAAGCGACGATATGCATATCTCCTTTTGGTATTGAAGGTTCCCATTAAGTTGCATTCCAGTCAGTAGTTGCAGAGAACTAGCACGGAAACGAAATTCGGACGGACAGAAGGACGGACGGACGGACAACGCCAAAACAATATCCCCCTCCTGTTTCCATCAGCCCCGGATAATTAAAATATCCCCCTCCAGTTTCCATCAGCCCGGGATAATTAAAGCCTTCTGGGTAAACGTCATTTAATGATTGACTTTTACATTTTACGTATTATTACGTCATAACAAACAAATTGGTAACAACAGCTCTAATTCTGTATAAATTAACCTTAATTGCCTTTATCACAATCAAGAGGTGTTAAAAACATGTCTCGCCAGCTGTCACTTGTTCCGAACATGCTGACCCACAACTTTTAGTTGTCTTTTTGTGTTCCACTGATAAGGCATGATTTTCACTATATTTCTGCTGTAGGGACCAGAGATCAAGTTCGAGAATTTGAGTGATCTGTGTTCAAGTGATCCAAAGTAGAACAATATATATTTCATAGAAATTTTGCCGAAACTGGGCGATGAGTTCGAGCAAAGGGAGGTATTCAAGCAATCAAACAAAGTTTAACTGTATAAAGAAAATCAATGACTCCTGTTGGGAGGCCATATTGACCCCAGGGATTTTATTTGAACAAACTTGGGAGACACCCACTAAACCTGATTTTATCATGGTATGGAATTCTGCATGGAACTGAATTCTGAATTTTGAAGGACGCACAACGGACCAGAGTGATCACAAAAGCTCACCCTTGAGCACTTTGTGCTCAGGAAAGCTAAAAACAAAACATGGATACCTAGTTTAAAGTAAAGTTGTTGGGAGAATATGGATGATGTTGAAGCAAGTTTACTACGAGCTATCCTTGTTATCTCTCCATCCTTGTTTATAATGAGAACTTCGTCAGTGGATGATGTATTCATGGATTTCACATTTGAAGTAGTAGTCTTAATAGTAGTTCCCATCACAGAATCTGAGAACAACTTAGGAGTTAGGGATCCAGTCTTGGACCTTGTGATCATTGTTCTCCCAACATCTTAAAATAAAGAAATAATAGTAACATGTAAATATAATATAAATCAAACAGATATTTATGATATTTAACAGAATGTCATATTTGACTTGTCAAGGTCATTCAAAGGTTAGGGTCACACTTGGGTTATCATGTGAATTTATCATCAGTGCTTTTTGTCCAATCCAGATATGAATAAATCAAATTTCTACATTTTGACCTTGATGGTAAAGGTCAATTAAAGGTAAAAGACATATCAGAATAATTCAACATGTCAGTTTTGTCATGTGTTCTTATCCAAATCTATAAAGACCAGAAATGTGTCCATAGGAAAAGGATCCCACTGTTTTGTCAATCTATTGATTTAGAACAGGACAGTATGGCAAACAAAGGAAATTCTGCATGACTCCCACTACCCCTAAATCTAATTTTATAACCTAAAGTATGCTTAAACAAGAGGGCCATGATGGCCCTGAGGTCGCTCACCTGTATAAAGGCCCCCCGAGTGGGGCCAGTTTAAACCCCAGGGCTTTTATTTAAACAAACTTGGAAGACACCCATTAGAAGATGTTTCATGATGTTAAGTTTTTACTACACACATATTATGAAAAACAATGACCTAGCTATTTGGGTTTTTTCAAAGAAGATTTTAAGTTTTTGCTATACACATATAAGGAAAATCAATGACCCCCCAGACAGGACCAATTTTGACCCCAGGGCTTTTATCTGAACAAACTTTGTAGACACTCACTAGAAGATGTTTCATGCTTAATATCTAAACTCTAGGTATTTGGGTTTTTTCAAAGAAGATTTTTTAAGTTTTTGCTATACACATATAAGGAAAATCAATGACCCCCTTGGGCAGGGCCAATTTTGACCCAAGGGCATTTATTTGAACAAACTTGGTAGACACTCACTAGAACATGTTTCATGCTAAATATCTTAGCTCTAGCTCTTTGAGTTCTTTAAAAGAAGATTTTTTAAGTTTTTACTATATGCATATAGGGAAAATCAATGACCCCCTGGGGCGGGGCCAATTTTGATCCCAGGGTTTTTATTTTAACAATTTTGGTAGACACTCATAAGAAGATGTTTCATGCTAAATATCTTAGCTCTAGCTCTTTGGGTTCTTTAAAAGAAGATTTTTTAAGTTTTTACTATATGCATATAGGGAAAATCAATGACCCCCTGGGGCGGGGCCAATTTTGACCCCAGGGCTTTTATTTGAACAAACTAGGTAGACACTCACTAGAAGATGTTTCATGCCAAATATCTAAGCTGTAGCTCTTTGAGTTTTTTCTTTCGGTTGCCATGACAACCAGAGTTCTGCATGGAATTAAATTCTTTGAACAATTTTTAAAGGTGACCACCAAAGGAACATTCCTGTGAACTTTGGATGAAATTGGCTTAGTGGTTTATGAGGAGATGTCATTTAAAGTAAAAGTTTACGGACGACGGACGATGGACGGACGAAAAGCAATCACAAAAGCTGACCCTGTCACTTTGTGACAGGTGAGCTAAAAATGAACAAATGGCAATAACTTCAAAATTAGGCAAGACAGAGTTATGGTTCTTTTGCACAGCACTTCTATTCAATGAGATCTATCTACCTACAAAGTTTCATGTTGATACTTGTTACAAAGTTATGTCCCGGACAAGAATAGTGGACGGACGGATGTTCTAACGGGACACTCACTGTAATAATGTGGCTACTATATTGTTCTCTATTGTTCTTTTCAGCCACACAAAAGAAAATAGCCACATAAAAACCTTACGGAATGAATGACATAAAAGAGAAAGAACAGTTACTTATGTCCCTCTAGCCACATTATTACTGTCCTGTGAGAGCGGACGGACAGACGGACGGACGGACTGACAAAGCGGCGACTAAATGCTCATTCTTCGGGGAGCATGAAAATGTAGATCTAGAAATCCTCCGACCCCTAAGCATAATACTTCAAAGCATAAGCAAGATACAGTCCCAAAAAACAAATTTTAATATTCTTATTTGACCTTTGACCTCTGGTGACCTTGACCTGAATTTTGTGTGAGACAACTCAACTCAACATGGTGAACATTGTGCTAAGTTATAGTAAAATCCATCCTTATATAGAAGTTATACTCGCAAACGAATATTTTATTTTGTTATTTGACCTTTGACCCCTAAGTGTGACCTTGACCTTTGCCATAGACGACTCTTTGGCGCGACACTCTGCCTTACTATGGAGAATATTTGTCCCGAGGTAATTAAAATCCCTCAATGCATGAAGAGGTATAATCTCTGGACACAGGTTTTGCACTGATCCCCAAGTGTGATCAAAAACTTTGAGCCGTGGACCTGGGTTTTGTGTGCGACACACCACCCCATTATGGTGAACATTTGTACCAAATTATTTTGTAATCCTTCAAAGAATGAGCAAGATATAGACCGGACAAATGCAGACCGCCGCATGATGGACTATGGGGGATCACAATAGCTTACCATGAGCATGTTGTGCTCAGGTGAGCTAAAAATAAGTTCTTACTTTGTTGCCCATTTTCCTGCTCCTCTTCTTCAGATTTCTCTGCATTCTCAGATTTCCTTGGAGCTAAACTGATCTTCATCTGAGATCCCTCCTTATTCAGCAGTACAAAGGTTGTACCTGGTTTTGATGTATTTGGACACACTGACTGAATGTTCATAATACCTGGCATTTGTTTACCATCTGAGCCAATCACAATAACTTTATTATCCCCCTTTGCTGCCTGTGATGAATTAATATTGCCATTTTGTTGTGAAGTATCACTGTTAGGAGAGATATCCTTATTTGGGGTTGGCTCTCGAGAATTTGACTGCTCCCCTGTTTTAATTTCTGCACTAACAATCCTAGGTTCTATAGTTTTGACAACATGATCCCCTGAGGGAGATACACTGATAGATTTTGAGGTTATTGTTGTTGTAGTTGTGGTTGTTTCAACAGTTTCTGTTACTTCAACTTTACCTATATCACTTGTTGTGATGATTTCTGTTGTAATACCATAACTGTCAGTCACAGTTGTTATGTTCTGTGAGGAAACATTTACCTGTGTAATATATAATCAAGTCAACAAATTATTTTACTAGATATTACAGACTCTTTTCCTGAAATAGTTACTACCTAAAAACAGAGGCATTCCGTATGCCAAAACATCACTTATACAAGAAAATATGAATACAAAGGCTATCAATGGAAGCTGCTCTTTTACTACTGTGTTCATCAGCATAAGTTACGATTATAAATCCGAATAATAAATCTGTAAAAATATATAACTTATTCTCTCTCTGTCTCTGTCTGTCTCTCTCTCTCTGTATATATATACAGAGATATATATATTTATATATTAGACAACAGGGTTTTTATTTAAAACTTGGTTGACGGTAGACATCCACTAGAAGGTGTTTTATGCTTAATATCTAAGCTCTAGCTCTTTGGGGTTTTTTAAAAAGATTTTTTGTTGGTTTTTTCCATATACATATCAGGAACATCAAAATACACCCCCCCCTCCACCACCAGAGCAGGGCCAATTTTAACCCAAGGGCTTTTATTTGAACAAACATAGTGACACTCACTAGAACATGTTTCATGCTTAATATCTAAGCTCTACCTACTTGGATAATTTAAAAGAAGATTTCTTAAGTTTTTCTTTTATACATATTAGGAAATCCAAAGACCCCCTGGGGCGGGGCCAATTTTGATCCCAGGGCTTTCATTTGAAAAAACTTGGTAGACTGTCACTAGAAGATGTTTCATGCCAAATATCTATGCTCTAGCTCTTTGGCTTTTTAAGTTTTTTCTTTCGGTTGCCATGGCAACCAGGGTTCTGCATGGAATTAAATTCTATGAACAATTTTTAAAGGTGACCACCAAAGGATCATTCCAGTGACATTTGGATGAAATAAGCTTAGTGATTTATTAGGAGATGTTGTTTAAAGTAAAAGTTTACAGACGGACAACTGGTGGACGCCGGACAAATTGTGATCACTAGAAATGTGTCGTTTTCACGATACGGATGCCCCTGCATGCAGCCAAAATTTCAGATGTTATAATATTTAGTTCCAAATTTGTTTGCACAAATTATTTTTTCATTTTAAGTTCAAAGCCCTTAAAACTTTTCAATGTTAACACAAACCATTTTTATTCAAAGTTCAAGGGTCTGAAACTATTCAGTGTTAACCTTTTGTAAATTCCATATTGCATATTTGTAGCCAAAATAATGGCTACATAGATTTCCAGAAAAGTATGAGTGCTGAAACTGAAAATTCAACATTTTTCCAACATTCAAGAAAGATAACTTTGTCCAAAATCATTGAACCATGACCAAATTCAAACTTGAACTGCTTATTCCTAAGATGTTTCTATACGTCAAATTTGAGTTGAATGTGTACAACCATTGGGGTGATAATGAACAGAAAATTAAAATTTCTGATTTATTTTTCAAAGTTCAAGAGGGATAAATAACTCTGTCAGCTATCATCAAACCATGACCAAATTTGAAATTGACCAATGCATTCTTATGACATATCCATATCTTTAATCCGAGTTGAATATGTAAAACCATTGGGGAGATAATGAACGGAAAATTAAAATTTCTGATTTTTTTTTTTTCAAAGTTAAAGGGGCATAACTCTGCCAAAAATCATCAAACCATAACAAAATTCGAACTTGACCTGAGCATTTTTTTATACTTATCCATACCGTATGTCAAATTTGAGTTCAATGTGTAATACCCTAGAGGAGATAATGAACAGAAACTGAAAATTTCATATCATTTTCAAAGTAAAAGGGGCATAACTCAAAAATCATCGAACCATGACCAAATTCGAACTTGACCTGTATTTTCTCATGACATATCCATATGTAAAATTTGAGTTGAATGTGTGCAACCGTTACTAAAATAATGAACGGAAACTGATGATGACGGAATGACAGAATGAAGGAAGGACGAACAGGGTAACACTATATGCCCCAGCCATTATATGGTGGGGGCATAATACAGAACATATATATGAAGTTTGAAGTAGATACGTTAAGAAATAAACTTGCCACAATGCAGATGAGTCTAGTGAATTTGGTGGTCATGGCATAAATTTCATGACTGTGCATTAAAGGACAAGACAGTAAGTCACTTTATCACTTTAAGTCACTTTGCCAAAATCTAGGTCAGCTGATATCAAAGTTCAATTTACATAGACAGGGTTCCCACAAAGAAGAGAAATCAAAATTCCCTGAATTTTCCCTGACCAAGACCATTTTTCCCTGACTAATAACAGCGTCAAGTTTTCACAATCTTTAGAGGATTAAACATATTTTTTTTATATGCTGGCCCACTCTTCCCTATATTAGCCAACCTCTTCCCTTCCTTTTTTATTTTAAATTATTTCAGATACATGTACGACGTATATGTATATAAGCATCAATTGTTATTAGCTACTTGTGTAGTTTACTTTCAATTAGCATGAGTACATTTATCCAAAATGAAAAGTATTTGATAACATATGTCATGCTCAAATATGTTTCATTCTCAAGCATATAAAGCAGTGTAATCAAAACATTGAGATACTAACTACCATAGCTAGTTTTGTACAATTTCTGCTATATACTAGTATTATTTAAGCTTTGCCTTCATTTTGCTTTTCATGAAGCCACTTCATTACATGTCTTATTGTTTCTTGTTAAAACAAAAGTTTTTAATTGATTACTAACATTTATTCAGGTAAAATGCATGCCTATTTTAGTCAATCCTGCATTGATTACACTGCTTTGTATGGGGAGGGGCCAAAATATAGAAGATTGCATTTGTGAACAAGAGCTGTCACAGGAGACAGCGAAGCTCGACTAATAAAATACTGGACGCAGTAAGGAGGACAAAACTATGAAAGAAAAATCAATTATGAATAATTATGTATTAAGTTACGGTAAAAAAATTAACATTTGTAAACATAAATTCCAAGATCAAGGGGAATAATTCTAGAAACAGTCACGCCAGAGTTATGAACCTTGTCACACAACATGTGTGTAATGATAAGAAATATATATTTGAAGTTTGAAGTAGATACCTTAACAAGAGCTGTCGGTAGGACAGCAACGCTCGACTATTCTTAGTGCTTGATAGTAAAAAAAGCCTTGATTAAAGGTAAAATTTTCTAAGTAAAGAAAAAGGCAAAATTTTTCTTTAAATCCATATTACAGTTATAGGCCTTGGAGAGAGTCCTATTATGCTCTCAAAGAAGAGTATAAAATTTCAATATGTTTCAAAGCCTTATGTCAATGAATTTTGAAAATATTTGAGGTATTACAAAAACTTTAACGTAAATTCTAAGTCGAAAAAGGGGCATAATTCTGTCAAAATGCTTGATAGAGTTACCTCCTCCTGTCTACATGTTGGGGTCATGATGGTGAACAAGTGTGCAAAGTTTCAAACCCATATGTCAATGGACTTTGAAAATATTTGAGGTATTACAAAAACTTTAACATAAATTCTAAGTCCAAAAAGGGGCATAATTCTGTAAAAATTCTTGATAGAGTTACCTCCTCCTGTCTACAGGTTGGGGTCATGATGGTGAACAAGTGTGCAAAGTTTCAAAGCCATATGTCAATGGACTTTGAAAATATTTAAACTATTACAAAAACTTTAACATAAGTGGTTATGCCGACGCCGACGCAGACGCCGACACCGACCCTGACGCTCGGGTGACTACAATAGCTCTACTTATTCTTATCGAATAGTCAAGCTAAAAAGTAAAGAAGTTATAATATTTCTTAAAGAAAATCTTAAGTTCAAAGAGAGATAAATCTGTAAATATTGCTTCAAGAGTAATGAACATTGTCACATAAAATGTAATTGATGATAAGGAATAAGTATTTGAAGTTTGAGGTAGGTACCTTTAAAACTAAAAAAGTTTTAGTAAAAAATAACATTTTTCTAGAAAAAAAAATCTAAGTTTATGGGGATATAATTTTTGCAATATTGGTGCTAGAGTTATGAACCTTGTCACATAAGATGTGGATGATAATAAGGTACATATATTTGAAGTATGAAGTTGATCCCTTTAGAAATAAATAAGTAACAGTAAAAAATAATATTTTTTAAGGAAAATTCTAAGTTCAAGGGGAGATAAATCTGAAAATATTGGTGCTAGAGTTAGAACCTTGTCACATAAGATGGGGATGATGATAAGGTACATATATATTTGAAGCATGAGGTTGATCCCTTATGAAATAAAGAAGTTACAGTAAAAAATAGTATTTTTTGAGGAAAATTCTAAGTTCAAGGGGAGATAAATCTGAAAATACTATTGCTAGAGTTATGAACCTTGTCACCTAAGATGGAGATGATGATAAGGTACATAAATCGAAGTATGAGGTTGCTCCCTTAAGAAATAAAGAAGTAACAGTAAAAAATAGTATTTTTTAAGGAAAATTCTATGTTCCAAGGGGAGATAAATCTGAAAATATTGGTGCTAGAGTTATGAACTTTGTCACATAAGATGTGGTTGATGATAAGGAACATATATTTGAAGTTTGAAGTTGATACCTTAAGAAATTTATAGTGAAAAATATTTTACTGCACCAAAACTTTAATCTGAAATCTGGACGCGGACGCTGACGCCGGGGCGAGTAGGTCAGCTCTCCATATACTTTGTATAGTCGAGCTAAAAAATGCTATGTCACTGCATCAATATAACAGAAGTAGATTTGTTTTGTTCTATACAATTGAACATAATGCAGTTGTGTCTAGTGAATTTCAGGGTCAAGGTCATATTTCAGCATGACATCTCAAAATAAATGTGCAGATGTGTCTGATGATAAGATACAAAGGTCACAGTGCAATAATTGATAGGTGTTTACTGTATTACATTGCTGTTTTAAACTTTAAAATACAGTTACATTTTTTTTAAATGCTATCTTTACAATTAAGCATTACCTATTCCTTAGATAGTTAAAATTTAAAAGAAGATTTTTTTTATTTTTTATACTACAGTCAAACTTGTATTAAGCGACCGCACAAGGGAAACACCCAAAACGGTCGCTTAATGGAACAGTCTCTTAAGACAAAGCATGACATAAAAGTCAAAATTTACCAATGACATCTTTCTTATGCGGTGGGAATGTTTTACAACTTCATTTTTATATAAATGTTGAATAATTAGTACGCTCGATTATCTAAATGAATGCCAATGTAAAAAATAACTTTCAGATATTTATTGACAAAACAGTTTTGATCCATTACGTACATGTTTGACATTTTTTCCAGATTTTTTTAACTTCTCCGTTGTTTTTCCTTGTCTCCAACACGAAAACACTATTAGTAAAGGTGTTTTTCTGTTGTGCATTTTTTCATTCTAAATAAACAAACTTCATCTAATTTAATTGCTGATCAAGTTCAAGGTCAACTCACTTCAGTCTAAATGTCAACAAGCGAAGCGTATACACCACATCAGTAGGGGCGGAGCGTTGCATTGTTTATTCGATATCATTGGATAATACATGTCACACGTGTACTTAACTTCATTTGCTAACGCTTAAACGGTTTGGGAGATAAAGTTTTTCACACATTTATTTGTTGTGTTTTGATTGTTGACACTTGTGACATTACGAGGCAGCGTTCTCTAAAAACACAATTACTTCACAGGTAAAAGTGGTCGTTTAATGAAATGATTGCTCTCAATTAGGTGACTAATTAGCGGTCGCTGGTCGCGTTGAACAAAAGTCGCTTAATACATTAAAAATATAAGAGAGGAAATGATGGGGGGGGAATTTAAAGTGGTCGTTTAAGACAAAAGTCGCTTAATACATGTGGTCGCATGGGCAAGTTAGACTGTATATGTAAATAATCAAAATCAATGAATCAGCCAATTTTGAACCCTTGGCTATAGTTTTAACAATCTTGGTATAGGTCTATTACACAAATTTTTATGCTAGATATCTAACCTATAGCCTTTGTCAATTCAGAGAAGAATTTAAAAAAAAATTTACGAAATGTATCAACATATAAGGAAAACCTATGACCCCTTGGGGTGGGCCAATTTTGAGGCTATGGGCAAAATTTGAGCAAATTTGCTAATCCGAACCCTTCTAATCCGGAATCCTTTCTTATCCGAACAAAATGTACGGTCCTGATTTTATTTGTTCTATTTTCAATAGTAAACAAGATTGCATTTGAGAAAAATGCTATGCCACCGCATTAATACAACACTAAATAGTAGTGTAGGAACAGATTTTTTTTTGTTTCTTTACAATTGAAGATTGTCATAATGCATAGATCCCTGACCTATCTAATTCTTATTATCAGATTAGTGGTTAAATATATTGTTATTCCAATAAAAGATCAGAGTAGGAATATACCAATGCACTCGAGTCTATTGAATTCGGTGGTGAAGGTCATATTTCACACAGCTTAAATTTCACGACTACATCAAAGGACAACACAGAAAGACACTTTGTCAAAATCTAGGTCAGCTGATATCAAAGTTCACTTTACATCTTAATCTGTGCACATGGTTTCATAGCTGTACATCAAAGGACAAGAAAGTAGGTCACATCATCAAAATCTAGGTCACCTGATATCAAAGCTCAATTTTACAACTAAAACTGTGCACAAGGTCAAAATTTCATTGCTGTACATCAAAGGACAAGAAAGTAGGTCACTGTCCCCTTGGGGCAAGGCCAAGGGTTTAATTCAAAACAATCTTGATACAGGTCCACCAAACAACATTTTTAGTCAAATATCTAAGCTGTAGCTTTCTTCCCATTTTTACTATATACATTAAAGGAAAACCTATGGCCCCCGGGGCAGGGCAATTTTGACACTAGAGGCAAAATTTGAACAACTTTGGTAGAGTACCTATAGATGATATCATTTAACAAAATTTAATATTAAAGCTCTAAGCCTTGTACCTTCAGAGAATAAGATTTTTTTTGATTTTTTACTATTTGTATATATTGAAAATCAATGACCCCCAGGGCGGGGGCAATTTTGACCCCAGGGCTATAATTTGAACAATCTTGCTAGAGATTCACTTCACAATGTTCATGCAAAATATCTAACTTCTAGCATTTGTCAATTGCTAGAAGAATTTTTTTTTAAGTTTTTACTATAAGTTTTTACTTTATACATATAGGGAAAACCAATGACCCCCGGGGCGGGGCTGTTTTTGTCCCCAGGGCTATAATTTGAACAATCTGGGTAGAGGTCTACCAGACAATGCCTTATGCAAAATATCTAAGCTCTAGGCCTTTTGGGTCTTTACAAGAAGGTATTAGTTTTTACTATATGTACATATAGTGAAAATCAATGACCCCCGGGGCGGGGCCGATTTTAACCCCAGGGCTATAATTTGAACAATCTTGGTAAGGGTCTACCAGACAATGCTTTATGCAAAATATCTAAGCTCTAGGCCTTTTGGGTCTTTACAAGAAGGTATTTTAAGTTTTTACTATATGTACATATAGTGAAAATCAATGACCCCCGGGCGGGGCCTATTTTGACCCCAGGGCTATAATTTGAACAATCTTGGTAGAGGTCTACCAGACAATGCCTTATGCAAAATATCTAAGCTCTAGGCCTTATGGATCTTTACAAGAAGATTTTTTAAATTTATTCTTATAATTCCTTTTGGTTGCCATGGCAACCAGATTTCTGCATGGAATAAAATTCTTTGAACAACTTTGGAAGCCCTTCACCCAAGGATCAATCCTGCCAAGTTTGGTTGAAATTGGACTAGTGGTTTTTCACAAGAAGATTTTTTAAGTTCACTATATAATCTATATAACACACAAACAAACAAACACACACACACACAGGTGAATCGCTATATGCCACCGCATCGCAGATGCTGCGGTGGCATAAAAACCTTTCGGATCCAGAACCTGTCTACTCCGTATTCCGAACGATTTTTTCTTATTTTACTCTTAAATTAACCTCTCGGATCCGAACAGAATTTGCCAAATGTCACAGCTACATTCAAAATAACAAATAATCGCACATCTTGCAGGTGTAAACATACAAAACATAACCATGTGATGTAATGACTGGAGATAGAAAAGTTTATCCCACAAGGCTTATCTAGCTGATTATATAGACAGAAGCAGGATAAATCTTAATCTATGCACATGGTCCAAATTCCATATCTGTACATGAAAGGACAAGAAAGTAGGTCACTTGTCAAAATATAATTCAGCTGATATTAAAATTTAATTTTACATCTAAAACTGTGCACATGGTCCAAATTGTATAGCTGTACATAAAAGAGGAAGTAGGTCACTTGTCAAAATCTAGGTAAGCGGATAATAAAATTCAATTTTACATTTCAAACTGTGCACATGGTCCAAATCATGGTTGTATATCAAAGGGCAAGAAAGAAGGTCACTGTGCCCCTTTGGCAGGGCAAAATTTTTACCTCAAGGCTTTTATTTAATCAACCTTCATACAGGTCCACCAGACATTGTTTCATATTAAATATCTAAGCTCTTTTTGTTAGTTTAACTGTGTGTACAAAATGAAAATCAATGACCCCCAGGAAGGGCCAATTTTGACCCCAGGGCTATAATTTGAACAATCTTGATATAGGTCCACTACACAATGTTTCAGGCCAAATATCTAACCTTTAGTCTTTGAAAATTCAGAGAATAAGAGTTTTAAAGTTTTAGGTATATACATATAAGGAAAACTTATCCCCCCCCCCCAGCGGGGCCAGGTTTGATGCTAGAGGCAAAATTTGTACAACTTTGGTAGCAGACCTATAGATGGTATCATAAACCAAATATCAAAGCTCTAAGCCTTGTACCTTCAGACAAGAAGGTATTTTAAAGTTTTACTCTATGTATACAGTGAACATCAATAAGGCCAATTTTGACCATAGGGCTAAAATTTGAACAGTCTTAGAAGAGGTCTACCAGACAATGCCTTATCCAAAATATCTATGCTCTAGGCCTTGTGGGTCTTTACAAGAAGATTTTTAAATTTATTTTTATAATTCCTTTTGAACGCACACACACGCAAACAGGTATATCGCTATATGCCACTGCTTTGCAGATGCTGCGGTGGCATAAAAGCAAGAGCTGTTAATAAGACTGGTGCTTGACTATCTCAATTCTTGATGGTGAAACTAAAGCCTGGATAATGTTGAATTTTCCAAGTTGAAAAAGGGCCATATTTCTAGTCAAAATCCATGTTAGTTGTGGGCCTTGGACAGTGACCTCCTACTCATGCTCTCCAATAAGTCTGTGAAGATTCAATCCATTCCCTTCAAAAGTTTTGGAAATAGCAACTTGCATGCAAAAACTTAACCAAAGTGTGACAATGACACCTGGATGAGCGAGTACAATAGCTCTCCCTATTTTTTAAATAAACAAGGTAATTACAGAATAACAGAACATACTGATTCAGTTGTATCTATTTGTTCACCATGGTCACCATTTATTTTTATTTGTTCTTCCTCTTTCTTTTTCTCTTCCAGTTCTCTAGTTTTCCTTTCTTCTTCTTCTTTCAGCTTTTGTGCAATTTCTTCTTGCCGCTGTTTTAATCTATCACTCTGAACTTTTTCTAGATTGGCTGCGAGGAAAAAGTACAAACAATACTTAAACATTATTTTAAAGCAGTAAGTTCACACTTCATACAATAGGTCCCACGCCACATTTCACTTTCACTATGGGGAAGAACATTTACAAATGTGTTCCAAGTTCATCCAGCTTTTACTCTCAGTATTAAATGGTTCTCCAATATTTCAGCCATTTTTTAGCTTTTGCCTTTAATTAACACAGTGGGTAAACAGAATCACTGTCTCATGTATTAAGCTTTTACATTTCAATGTGTATGTCTTATTGTGTACAAGAAGCTGTTACTTCCCATCACTGTATATTTTTTGCAAACTTATTTAATTTAACTTGTTATCATTTCTTTCAAGCCAGGGCCTTTTTGCCTTCGGTTATCGAAGGGGCCCTCATAGGGCTGCTTCCCCAAAGAAAATTTCTTTAAAATCATGCAGTTTTCCTCAAAAATTGAAATTACGAGTTTTTTCTTCCCTTTTTGCAAATATACTGTGTAATTTTCCCCCAAAATTAAGGGCTGGGCTGCTTCCCCAACCTGTGAAAAAAAGCCTTGCAAACACAGTAAGAAGATTCATCCACCTACTGTCACTTATACATGAGCAAGCAATACAAAAGTTCCCTACCTGTCGGTTAGAACATCAGTAACATTCCAAAGGCCTTGGCCTTTCAATTATGCCATTGTGGAAGACATAAATTAACATTAAATAGTTTGGGTTCTTAGTTTATCTATATCATAGTAATGTGTTGCGTTTCCATGCCTTATAAGGAAATTATGTTTATACATTAGATAATCAAAAGATCGAATTTTCTCAAGATGAATAATTGAATATGTATAACTAATGTAAAAACTTTTCTATTTCTTTTTAAGTAAATTTATTGGAAAATTTCAAGTTCTTTAAAAGTGATCTCAGAAAAAAAGTTTTTAGGAACAGCCAGAAAAATTAACTTAACCCATTTGATTACTTCATGAGCATTTTTAAAAAAAAAAAAAATTCAAATTGCTATGACACTATAAACAAGAGCGCCAAGATGGCCATAGATCGCTCTCCTGACCCATCAAACTCATCTGAGCAATTACTTAGTTTCATGACACGTTGAGTCAAAAATGTGACCTTTGTCAGTGTTAACAAGGTTTTTCCATATTTGGGCAGTGTGACCTAGTTTTTGACCCCAGTTCACCCATACTCAAACTTGACCTAAAAATCATTAAAACAAACTTGCAAACCAATGTCCAAGATATTTGGATAATAACAGTAGCAACTAGAGAGTTAACAAGATTTTTCTATTTTTAGCTCCTGTGACCTAGTTTTTCATCCGAGATGACCCATGTTCAATCTCATCCAATCAATTACCTTGACAAGCATCCTGACAAAGTTTGATGATGAATGAGGCAAAAATGTGACCACTAGAGTGTTAACAAACAAATGTGGACAGACGATGGACATTCAACGATCCTAAAAGCTCACCCTGAGCAAGCTCAGGTGAGCTAAAACAAGAGGGCCATGATGGCCCTGAAGTCGCTCACCTGTATATAGGCCCCGGAACGGGGCAAGTTTCAACCCCAGGGCTTTTATTTGAACAAACTTGGTAGACACCCATTAGAAGATGTTTCATGCTAAACATCTAAGGTCTAGCTCCTTGGGTTTTTTAAAAGAAGATTTTTTCAAGTTTTTTCTTTACACATATAGTTAAAAACAATGACACACCTGGGGCAGGACCAGTTTTGACCCCAGGGCTTTTATTTGAACAATCTTTGTAGACACTTACTATAAATTGTCTCATGCCTAATATCTAAACTCTAGCTATTCAGGTTTTTTCAAAGAAGATTTTTAAGTTTTTGCTATACACATATAAGGAAAATCAATGTCCCCCGGACAGTTTTGACCCCAGGGCTTTTATTTGAACAAACTTTGTAGACACTCACTAGAAGATGCTTCGTGCTTAATATCTAAACTCTAGCTATTTGAGTTTTTTCAAAGAAGATTTTTTAAGTTTTTGTTATACACATATAAGGAAAATGAATAACCCCCGGGGCAGGGACAATTTTGACCCCAGGGCTTTTATTTGAACAAACTTAGTAGACACTCACTAGAAGATGTTTCATGCTTAGTATCTAAACTCTAGCTATTTGGTTTTTTTCAAAAAAGATTTTTTAGGTTTTTGCTATACACATATAAGGAAAATCAATGACCCCCGGGGCGGGGCCAGTTTTGACCCAAGGGCTCTCATTTGAACAAACTTGGTAGAAATCCATTAGGACATGTTTCATGCTATATATCTTACCTCTAGCTCTTTGGGTTCTTTAAAAGAAGATTTTTTTAGTTTTTACTATATGCATAAAGGGAAAATCAATGACCCCCTGGGGCGGGGCCAATTTTGACCCCAGGGCTTTTATTTGAACAAACTTGGTAGACATCCATTAGAACATGTTTCATGCTAAATATCTTAGCTCTAGCTCTTTGGGTTCTTTAAAAGAAGATTTTTTAAAAGTTTTTTACTATATGCATATAGGGAAAATCAATGACCCCCTGGGGCGGGGCCAATTTTGACCCCAGGGCTTTTATTTGAACAAACTTGGTAGACATCCATTAGAACATGTTTCATGCTAAATATCTTAGCTCTAGCTCTTTGGGTTCTTTAAAAGAAGATTTTTTAAAAGTTTTTACTATATGCATATAGGGAAAATCAATGACCCCCTGGGGCGGGCCAATTTGACCCCAGGGCTTTTATTTGAACAAACTTGGTAGACACTCACTAGAAGATGTTTCATGCCAAATATCTAAGCTCTAGCTCTTTGGGTTTTCTAGAAGAAGATATTTAAAGTTTTTTCTTTTGGTTGCCATGGCAACCAGAGTTCTGCATGGAATTATATTCTTTGAACAACTTTCAAAGGTGACCACCAAAGGAACATTCCTGTGAAGTTTGGATGAAATTGGCTTAGTGGTTTATGAGGAGTTGTCATTTAAAGTAAAAGTTTACGGACGACGGACAAAGTGACAGGTGAACTAAAAAGCTCTTCAAGGAATTTAATTCTTTTAACAACTTTGGTAGAGCTTCATGCAAGGAACATGCCTGCCAAGCTTCATTTAAATTTAGTCAAGTGGTATTGGAGAAGTCATTTGAATGAAAAGGTAAACGCACGAACGGACGGACTGACGGATATCTAAGTAGCAATGCCAATCAGCATCTTAAATATAAGGTACCCACACTATTTTAGCACTGTTGTGCAAGGCTCGCTATTTCCCACACTTGGGCATGTTGTGCTACTCAGCCACACGATTTTGCCAGGGGATACAGTATTGGATTCTCTTGCACTTACAGGAAGGTCAACAATTTGTCAAATTTTTAATAAACAATTACAAACATCACTCAATCGTATTTTCTTCTTGTACAGTGACATTGTTTACATTTGCGACATTGTAAATCGGTCGCCGTATTGTCATAAAAAAATCACGTGTGCACAAAAATCTAAGGCAGCGGGGTTTTCCCATGTTGCTTTTATAAAGTTGCAAACTCAGACCGCTTTGAGTTAACATCAATTTTATTGAATCAAGGTATCCCTCTAGTGGGTAATTGAATAATTAGCTTTTATTGGACAAAAACAACAATCTTTTTTTAAACAAGAAAGTTTGTTTACAAGACTAGCTTTTTTTCTTCGATTTAACTTTTCTTTGAAAGGAGAAATCTCTGCAAGAAGGGGAATTTTAGACTGTTTTTTGGGAAAAAAAGGTAGTAAGTTGGCTTTGGGAAGTAGCCAGGTACCAGCTACAGCAAAGAAGGGTAAAAAGGCCCTGTGTCAATAGGCCTAAGCAAAATCAAGTTCTTGAGTGGAAACTGAATGTCTATTTTTAGCAACATTGACCTTGACCTTGATCACAGAGACCTGGGTAGCAATCACAAGCTGTTTTTTATATAAGCTATGTATACACCAAATTTGGTGTCAGTAGACCAAAGCAAACACAAATTATTGAGCGGAAACCTAAAGTTGATGCCAGCCCACTGACTTCAGCATTACAATAACCAGCTTTCTTCACACCTGGTTAAAAATCAATGACCCCCTGGCGAGAGGCCAAATAAGACCCTAGGCCAGGGCTATATTTTGAACAATTTTTGTAGAGTTTCATAAGTTGTTGCTACATACAAAATAGGCCTTGCACTTTCAGAGAAGATTTTTAAAGATTTCATCTTTAAAATTTATTTATTAGCCCTTCTGACCAAGATGTTCAATGGAGCAGAACCATTTAAACTATTTTAGTAGAGCTTTATGCTAGGAACATCCCAGGAAAATATTCTATCAAATTTTGCCAAGTGGTTCTGAACAGTTGATTGTAAAAAAGTTGATGACAGATGCACAGCACACGTCCGAGCAAACATTTTGGGTTTAGGGGCTATATAACAGTAAAGAGAACAAAGGAGAACAATAGGTTCATTCCATGATCAAAGGGTTTATGGGCCAAAAGAAAACAACAAAGAAAATAGCCCCTTAACCCAAATTGTTGGTACTGACGCACTGACAGACGCCGGAGAAATTGTGATCACAAAAATGAAAGCAATAGTTATGCAACTTGCCCAGATCATGTACTTTACTATTAAATTATAAAGCCATTGGTACGGGTAGAACTTAAAAAAAATCCAACTTGCCGTTTCAGGTTAACCACGTACGGACAGATGGACGGACAGATACACCAACGGTTCAATAGTATATGCCTGGGGCATAAAAACTTCATTCTGACCATATTTGACAAACCTTACCAATTTCAACTTCTAACGCTGATTTTTTATTAGTGCATTTTTCTTTTGTGAGTTCTTCAGTGATTTTCATTTGTCGGCTTATATCATCTCTAAGGTCACTCACTATAAAACTGAGTTCCCTCTCCCATACAGTTTGATCTAACACTTCCAATAACTCCTCTATTTGACCTTTTGTACTGTAATACCATACCTCATTTTCACCTTCCCTAAAAATATAAAAGGTTTTTGTTTTGTTTTCTTTGTTTAAAAACAACAACAGTAAACTAAATCAAATCACCAAATTTACAACCAGAGGTACATTTGCTATACATGTATTTATATAAATCACAGGTAACATCAAGTACAATGTTTGTAAGTGTTTATCATTTCCATACTTCAAGTACCATGATTCTTTTTACTTTCGTTTATAACTGGGGTATGTAATAAATGGAACTGTTACCTTCTACCATGTGGTGATATTCCAAACATCTCATTATGCTTGTTTGTTTTGTTTTTTTTGCTTGATTTAAAAATCATATTTTTTTTTCAACAATCTACCCCTTTCCTGTGAACATCCTATCAAACAAACTGTAGTTCAATGACTTGCTGAATTTACAATGCAAGTAGAGGTGTAACGATTCATCGATGCATCAATGCATGGCGATCTGCCCTGTCCTCTATGTATGCATCGTAATAAAATTACAAATTCCAATATATTGCGATGCAATACATATTTCACCTCCCGATGTATCGATATAGCGGGAAGTATCGCAATACACTAACAATATCTTCCAGGAATATAAGGACAAACATATTTTTTGAAAGACTGAAGAAAGAAAAATAGCTCAGATGAAAACAATGAACAAGCACGACTATTATCATATCATCGTTGTCATCTCGTTTCCCCATGTCCGCAATCATTTAACGGTAACAAACCAAGTTTTATCAATTCCATATAAATGGGCTGGTGTTCTTTGAACTTGTTTATAATAAAAAAACAACCTACAGACATGAATTTGTAATTTTATTTAGTCGCACTTGATGTGGGATTAAAATAGTGATGATGACAACATTTCTATGTGATATTCGTCACATATTTATACTTTCATTTCCGTTGACATAATTTTCCCGTACAAACAGAAAACATGTAGACTGCAAAATATTTAGAAGAGGAAACTATAGCTCATCCTCCCTGGTCATATTATTCACGAGTTTTGGGAACATTGTATTTTTTGGGGAACAAACAGATAGTGTTGTATAATGTAGAAGACTGGACGTGGAGTGTTTGCAAAATTTGCAAACTCAAAAAAAAAAATACTCTGGGGTTGAGCACAAATCTTTCGAGAAAACTGAGAGTGAAACTGATAATGTTGACCTAATTATAAATCAGTTGTTACTATTTTTTTCACAAGAAAAATCTTTAGTGGTGTATTGTAAGACTGAAATTGTTAAACTGCTATATTTACAGTAGTGAACTTTAGTGTTAGAATAGTAGATATCAATATGCTCATTATGCTGTTATGGTATAATTAACAATACCTTTAATTCTTAAGTAATCAGAAAAGTAAATTGTTGAAAGATCAAAACCAGAAACCAAGTTATAACAACTAGTTAAAGAGTTTATATTTTTTTATTGTAATAGTTTTATATTATATTCGTAATTATGCTGTAAACAAATGGCCAAATTTTTATATTCTAAGTCTGAAAGTCTGTATCGTGATACGTATCGCATCACAACATAAGAATCGCAATATGCATCGCATTTCTTCAAAGTATGCAATACATATCGTGAATCGCATCGTTTTGAAAAACAAATATCGTGATATGTATCGTGACAGAAAAAAATGGCAATGCACAGCCCTAAATGCAAGTGTACCAAATTTTGTCACTGTTCTTTTTCCTATTTTAATCCTAATTTACAAAAGAAAAAAAAGAGGGCAATAATGGCCCTAATATCGCTCACCTGAATATAAATACTCTTAATGACATACCAAGCTCTAAATAATTTTTTTAAAAAGCTGTATTAAACTTTAAAACGCAGATACAGTTATTTCTCTTAAATATCTTTTCAATTAAGCATTACCAATTTCTAAAAACATGAAAAACATTTATGATTTAAAATCATCTTTATATACTTGGTGGAAATCATAATATAATATAATGTGCTCATATTCTTTTATAAATATCCCTACAAAACTCAAATGTGTTTTGCTAGAGTTCATGACCTCCAACCATTTCATAAATATCTCTGAAAAGCAAACATTTTTCTTGCTAGAGGTCATAACCTCTAGACTTACTCCCAGCAATTGAATCTTTTATAAAACAAGAAATATCGAACGACACATCATTGCCTCCCTTTCTAGCCCTTGACTCACATTATTGGTAATTTTGATATTGAAACTTGCCATAAATGGGTACATGGAAGTGTTCAGTTATGAAAAGAAAAAACTAGAAATGTGTCGTCACGCCACAGATGCCCCCGCATGCAGCCAAAATTTCAGATGTTATAATATTTAGTTCCAAATTTGTTTTGCACAAATTATTTTTTTCATTTTAAGTTCAAAGCCCTTAAAACTTTTCAATGTTAACACAAACCATTTTTATACAAAGTTCAAGGCACTGAAACTATTCAGTGTTAACCTTTTGCAAATTGCATATTGCATATTTGTACCCAAAATACATACATTTCCACAAAAGTACGAGTGCTGAAACTGAAAATTCAACATTTTCCCAACATTCAAGAAAAATAACTTTGTCCAAAATCATTGAACCACGACCAAATTCAAACTTGAACTGCTTATTCCCAAGATGAATCTATATGTCAAATTTGAGTTAAATGTGTACAACCATTGGGGAGATAATGAACGGAAAATTAAAATTTCTGATTTTTTTTTAAAGTTCAAAAGGGATAACTCTGTCAGCTATCATCAAACCATGACGAAATTTGAAATTGACCAATGCATTCTTATGACATATCCATATCTTTATTTTGAGTTGAATATGTACAACTGTTGGGGAGATAATGAATGGGAACTGAAAATTTTCTTCTTTATTTTCAAAGTTAAAGGGGAATAACTCTGCCAAAAATCATCAAACCATGACAAATTCGAACTTGACCTGCGCATTTCTTTGACATATCTATATGTCAAATTTGAGTTGAATGTGTAATACCCTAAAGGAGATATTTAACGGAAACTAAAAATTTCATATTATTTTCAAAGTGAAAGGGACATAACTCTGCCCAAAAAAATCATCAAACCATGACCAATTTCGAACTTGACCTGCGCATTCCTTTGACATATCCATATGTCAAATTGAAGTTGAATGTGTAATAGTGTTGGGGTGATAATGAAGGGAAACTGAAAAATTTCATATTATTTTCAAAGTAAAAGGGGCATAACTCTGCCAAAAATCATCGAACCATGACCAAATTCAAACGTGACCTGTATTTTATCATGACATATCCATATGTCAAATTTGAGTTGAATATGTTATATCGTTGGGGAAATAATGAAAGGAAACTGAAAATTTCATATTATTTTCAAAGTAAAAGGGGCATATTTACTCTGCCAAAAATCATCGAACAATGACCAAATTCAAACTTGACTTTTATTTTCTCATGACATATCCATATGTCAAATTTGAGTTGAATGTGTGCAACCGTTACAAAGATAACTAGAACTGCCACTATCATGGCGTGAATACCCCCGCATACCACTTTGTCAGAATCAACAGTGGCCATTTAGAGCTCAAGGACAACCTCCCTGCCAAATCTGAGGTTACTAAGCCAGTGCATTGCTTAGTTATGTATTCTACATGCTTCAAATGTCAAAATCAATACACTGCGGACAAGCATTCTTAAGCAATTGAGGGGAAAAGCCCTTTTTTTGAGTCCAGGTCCCCATGACCTTGACCTTTGACCCAGTGACCTCAAAATCAATAGGGATCACCTTATGGTCATGATCAACCTCCATGCCAAATATGAAGACTGTGGGTCAAAGGAATCTTAAGTTATTGGGCGGACAAACTTTTTGAAGTCCAAGTCCATGTGACCTTGACCTTTGACCTCAAAATCAATAGGGGTCACCTACTAATCATGACTAACCTCCATGCCAAATATGAAGACTGTAGGTCAAAAGTTTTTTAAGTTATTGCGCGGATAAACTTTTTGAAGTCAAAATCCCTGTGACCTTGACCTTTGACCCAGTGACCTCAAAATCAAAAACGGTCACCTACTAATCATGACTAACCTCCATGCCAAATATGAAGACTGCAGGTCAAAGGAATCTTAAGTTATTGGGCGGACTAGCTTTTTATAATCAAGGCCCCTGTGACCTTGACCTTTGACCCAATACCTCAAAATCAATAGGGGTCATCTACTACTCATGACTAACCTCCATGCAAAATATGAAGACTGTAATCATTAGGGGTCATCTACTAGTTAACGACCAATCACTGTGAAATATGAAGACTTTGTGATAAATAGTTTTCAAGATAATCAGCGGAAACCATTCTGACATTACCTAGTGATCCAAAAATCAATAGGGGTCATCTACTAGTTATTACCAATCACTATGTGAAATATAAAGACTTTTGTGATGAATAGTTTTTAAGATGATCAGCCGAAACCATGTGGTCTACCAATGGACAGACCGACCTACTGACTAACATAAGCAAAACAATATACCCAATAAAACTACAATAACAAGCAATTTTCAAAGTATTGCAAGCAATCCATAAGTCCCCTACCGGTCAGAACCCCAGTTCTTCTAAGTTTGTCTATATCACAGTAATGTGTTTACCCGGTAGTTGCCCTGCCTAGTAAGGAAATTATGTTTGTACAACCTTGTCATATTATTACGATGTGGGATTTTAAAGTAAATCCTATAAGGAATGAAGAAGTTGGGAGTGAACAATACCAATTTCTCGAAAAAAATCTAAGTTCAAAGGGGACATAATCCTGGAAATAGTCTTGCTAGAGTATTTAACCTTCTCAAAAATGTTGAGTGATAATAAGAAACATATATATGAAGTTTGAAGTAGATACATTAGGAAATAAAGAAGTTATTTAAAAAAAGACTACATTTTTTTTTAAATTCTAAGTTCAAGGGAGGTAATACTGATAATTTTTGTGCTAGAGTTGTAAACCTTGTCACATATGATGTGGTTGATAACCAGAAACTTATATTTAAAGTTTGAAGTAAACACCTTAAGAAATAAAGAACTTATAGTGAACTAGAAATGTGTCATCATGCCACGGATGCCCCCGCATGCAGCCAAAATTTCAGA